GCCAATCAGCTCTCTGGCCTTGCCTCCCCACCCTGCCAGACTCCCCTCCCAGAGGTGTGGGGGCAGGCTCAGCCTCAGCACAGCTGGGCTCGGCTCTGGGTGGAGCCAGCTCCCCAGAGCCTGAGAATGGTATTTAGGCCCTGACAGCCCAGTCCCACCCTTGATGAGCTCCGGCAAGCCGCCTGCCCGCCTGCCTGTGGCTTAATCGCTGACTTTCCCGGGAAAGCACTAATTACCGCACGGCTCCCTTGGGGTCTGGCTCAGTGATCTGTCACAGCCCCTCAGCCTCGGAGCACTGACTGTACTCTCTGAGCGGGTGCTGTTCTGCCCTCCGCCCTCCCTTCACCTCAGACAGGAACCCCAGGGACGGACAGACTGGCCAACCAACAGGAAAGCCGGGACCAGGCCCGCCAACCGTTCCCATGTCCACTTGAACAGCGGTCTATCCAGTGGCTCTTGACGTGTGGCCCTGGGACCTGCAGCCTCAGCATCACCAGGGGGGACCTTGCTAGAAATGCAAATTCCCGGACCTTACCTGACTCCACTGAATTAGACACTCTGGAGGTGGGGCGTGGCGTGTGTCTTAACCATCCCTCCCTCCAGTGGCTGCTGGAATCTGCTCAGTTTGGAGAACCACAGCTCTGCTTTCCTGGGCAGCTATGGATGACAGGCGGGGTGCGATGGAGAGGTGATTATAAAGTGGGGTGAGTTTTGAAACACAGGTTTGCAGAGACCTGCCTCTGTTGATTCCCTACCTTGTGAGCTGGAGTGAATCAGTTTTTAAACTTAATACATATTTATTATCAACCTACTCTTTACTGCTGAAGGTCCCTGGGGCTGAGGTTCTGGGGAAAAAAAAAACAATTGGCATAATCAATATCAACTTCTTTAACCCTTACAAAAACCGTTCAGGTTCAACACTATCATTGACCCAATCTTCATAAGTGAGAGGCAAATTCCTGAAAGAATTTGCCTCTGGGCTGGGCACGGTGGTGCATGCCTGTAATCCCAGTGGCTCTGGAGACTGAGGCAGGAGGATCGCGAGTTCAAAGCCAGCCTCAGCAAAAAGTGAGGCACTAAGCAACTCAATGAGACTCTGTCTCTAAATAAAATACAAAAAATATAGGGCTGGGGATGTGGCTCAGTGGTTGAGTGCCTCTGAGTTCAATCTCCCGAATCTTCCCTCCAAAAAGAAAAAAAAAAAAGAAAGAATTTGCCCCCGGGATAGTCTGAGTTTCAGCCTTAGGATCACATCCAGAGCTAACCACTGAGCAGCCAGGCTGGACTGAACTGTAGCTGGGCAGGAAGATAGATAAAACACAACGAAGACACACAATTTGGGCAGGCCCACAAAGCCTGCTAGGCAGGCAAAGTGGGGAAGAGGCTGGGGTGTCACTGGGGCGGGGCCGAGGGGGACTACGGTGACAGGGTGGTCTGGCCAGGCCTCACTGAGGACGTGGCTTGTGAGCAGAGGCCTCTCAAGGTCTCAGCTTGGTCAGCTGTAAAGCCGGGGAGTTACTGGCAAGGCCCTCGGGTGTGGCCCGAGTGTGTTCCAAAACATGACTCTGAAGTTCAGCAAACGGGAAACGGTGTCATGCTCTTGGAGAAGCGAGTTCCAATCCTGACGGGCTTGGCCGCCCATTAGCTGTGCATCTCAGGCAAGCCACTCCCACCCTGGGAAGCCTCCGTTTTCACAGCTACAAAATGGGTGAGGGTCGGAGGACATTCACTTTGAAGGCAAAAAGCCACGAGGGTTGGCTGACAGGACAGTGAGTGGGGAGGAAGGGAGAGAGATGAGCCGGGGACACAAGGGCCCGGCCCCCCAGCCCCCCAGCCCTGCTTTCTCTAGAGCCTGGTCAGCAGCTTTGCTGCCGGGCAGCTGGTTCCCGGTGCAGGCTGCCCAGGAGTCTGTGCTGTTTGTATTTTGATGGTTCTGGCTCCACAGCTGAGGCCTCTACTCCAAATGCCTCGTCTTTGCCCAGAAAAATAGGTCATTGGCAGCCCCAGCCTCTTGACAGGCCCCGCACAAAAGCAGCCTGGCGGGCTCGCCTGCTGACGCTGGCCCAGGGTGACGGGAAGTGAAGAGCCGGGCGTGGGCAGGGCTGGTGCCAGGGAGCGCTGGGTCCCTGCAGGGTCCCGCGTGCCCTGCGAAGTCGCCCTGGTCCACTCACCCTGTCCCTGGCTTTGCTCCTCACCTTTGGGGACCCAGCAAGGTTGTTCCATGAGTGTGGAAGAGTCTGGTACTTGGTCCTTTCTGCAGAGGCCCACCCCGGATCCTTCCTACTAGGGCTGCGTTCACATCCAGGCCACCAGTGACACCTTGTATCAGGATCGTCCTTGTCATTCCTATTTCATAGACGGAGCCTCAAAATATTTTTTTTTTCTCCAAGTTACATAAGTCAACTTGCCGGAGCCCTAGCTTCGGAGCCCCTGATGGTCCCCTCCTGCGCTCAGTCACATCTCTCCAGGAGACCCCTGACGACAGGGAAAGGAGCTGATGGGACACATATCAAAGGATCCCTGGGGCTGCTGAGTGGCAGGAAGGACAGGTAGAAATGGGACACCCAAGGGCCGGAGGGGGGGGCGGGGCGGGGAGGCTCAGACCAGGGTGCTAACAGGGGAGGGGCTAAGAGGCTCTATTCTGGATGTGATGGGGAAGCCCAGCCTGAGCCACCCAGTGACAGACTGTCACCAGGGGTAGCAGAGAAGAGTCGAGGAGCCGTGCAGGGACACAGCCCTCTCTGGCTTCCCATCCCACCTCCTCGGTGAGGTGAGATGGTCCCTGACCCCTTCCCAAAACTGGCACAGGAAGGGGCTTTCCCCCATTGTATCCGTTTCCACTTGAAAAGCTAAATAGTTTACTTATCCATTTGTTTATTTCCCCCATTCCATTCGATTGTCCGCTCCTTGAGAGCAGAAGGTTTTTTTTCTCGGTTTTATCTTTTTTCCAACCGCTGCATCCCCGTTGCCTAGCTCAGTGCCTGGCACATAGTAGATGCTTAGTAAATATCTGCGTGCACGGGAGCAAATGCTCATGACCCAGGGCAGCCCAGACTGTGTGCTATGGGAGTGCCTGATTGGAACCAATTATCTGCCATAATCTCTAGGTAACCACAGGCAAGTGGTACACACCCCCCTCTGTTTGCCCATGTGCCACTGATCTCCACCGCCTCTCTGCCCTGATGTTTGGTGACAGGTGATTTTTATGTGGACACAGAACCAGGCCCAGTGGGCCCCTTCTCCACCCCACCCCTGGGGCAGAGGTGAGGATAAAAGGGACACTGTGTTGGGAAGCCCTGCTGAGCGTCTTTGCCAAAGGTGCTCTATATAAATAGCAGGTGGTTCAATTATTATCCTTCCTAATCCCCAGCTTCCTAATCCCAGGCAGGTTTGTGTGTGTGTGTGTGTGTGTGCCCTGGGGCAACGGCAAACAGCAGAGCCTTCTGGAAGCCCAGAGCAGGAGGCTGCCTTGCCTCTGACCTCATCAGAGGCTCCTGTCCCCCTCCCCCTCCAGAGGGAGTCTGGTGATGGGTATTTCTCCAGGAGCCTTCTCTGGCCACCTTCATGGTCCTGCCAGATGTGGCCTGAAGAGTTGGAAACTCGTCCCTGCTGCCCATTACAGAAGCTAGGATGACCCCACAATAATCTTCCCACCCTGACACCCCAGTTCCATGCTCCCCTCCCTGCAGCCCCCTCGGGCTGGATGGCCCACCAGCCGAGCCGACCTTGGGTCTTTCTTCTGTGGTCGACCCCTCTTCCTGGAGCATCTTTCTTCCCAACCTCTGCTTTCCCTTCTTGTCACCTGGCCCCCACCTCTCAGGGTGTTAACTTACCTGCCACCCTATCTAAAGGAGCTCACCCGCTCTGGCTAAGCTTGTCTTCTAATGTTGTCCATTAATTCCTTCGACTTGCCTTCTTATCTGTCTCCTCTACTAGAATGTGAACTCCTCCAGGGACAGGTACCTGTTGTAATCTCCCACGCCCAAAGAAATGAAAATTCCCTTGAACTTCAAAGCTCCCCGGAACCCTGTAGGTTCCCCAGGACTGGCGTCTCATTTACTTATCAAACACTTTCCTTGCACTTGGTACAGGGGAGGCGCTTTTCAAAATGTATGCAAATATTAATTCGTCTAATCCCCACAACAGCCCTTTTTTTTTTTTAGGTCGGTTCTCACCCTGGCCTCATTTCAGATGAGGAAACTGAGGCACCGAAAGAGAAGGCATTTGCTCAAGTCCCCAAGACTCATAAGAATATAGACCCAGAAAGTCTGGTCTTATGTTCTTAGCAGCTGCACCCTGACTGCCTGTCTGTCTTGGCAGAAAAGGAGAACCAGGCATTTGATCAAAAAGCCCGAGGGGGCAAGGGTGTCACTGTGCAAAGGTTATTAGCTTGTGAATAATAATTTTTAAAAAATCATATCTCCTTTCTACCTTGGGCCTTGCTGTGTGGCCTTTAGGAAAAATCTCCCTCTCCCTTTACAGGCAGGGACTTCTCCCACTTTGCTTCCTTCTGTCCCCTAACCACTCCAGTGTGAAGCAAAATTGGCCATCTTGAAGCTTATTTTCAACTCAGAAACTCTCCAATTAGTAGAGGGTCTTGAACTCCTTTCCCTCCCTCCCAGTGGAGCCGCCTTCTGCCAGATGACTCCAGCACTCCAGCTCCCCGCAGCTGACCTGGCTGATGCTAGGGACATAAGGAAGAAGGACAGGGACAGCCTTGGCTGGGTTTTCCACGGGGAGACTCCGTCCTCTCCTCTGGGCCTCTCACCCCAGGTCTCCTCCTCTCCTCTAGCCTTTCCCCATCTCCTGGCGCCCAGGCCTTCCAGGGGCCCCCTCTCCCCACGCCCCTGCCTGGGTCTTCCGCGCCTCTCAGGCTGCGCTCCGCGGTGGAGAGGCCCCCGGGCCCGGGAGAAACGGCCGCCCCAGGCTGGCCGGGACCCTCGCCCCGCGTCGCCTGCCGCAGCCCCTTCCCGCTCCCCGCTCCCCGCGCCTCTCTCCCAGGCGGCACCGAAGTCCTTCCTACACACACGCTATTTTTGTACCATCACTCTCTCCTTCCTCTCCCCTTCCCCCTGCCTCCACTTCCTGCTGGCTTCACCTCGGCCCAGCTCGGGAAGATCTGGGCCCCTCCGGCCCGCGCCCCTGCCCTAGGCAGCTCCAGAGCTGGGGACCGGGGGCAGGGCCACTCGGGGAGGGGCAAACGGCAGCGCTCCCGCCCCCTCC